AGTTGCTGCAGATGACAGATGTTACCGATACACCGACTGTGCCAGTTGTACTGCAAACACAAACGGATGCCAGTGGTGTGAAGACAAAAAATGCATTTCAGCATCCAGCAACTGCACCATGGTGAGTGTGTAGAGAAGAGCTCTGGGTCCTGAGCCAGTGGAAAGATGCATAATTCATCTGTTAAACAGCAATTAGGCTTCCTGGATGCTGCAGTACTCTTCACTATGATGAGGCAGGTAGCCAGTGCAGGCTGCAGGAAATCTGCGAGCAATGGTTTAGTCACTGACCCTTGCTGAAACTAGTTATTATGGACAGGATAAAGAAGACCTATTAATTTAGTTTGGTCCCTTTCAGTGCCCCCAGGGCTTACCTCAGCTCCAGCATGTGTAATGTTTTTTTTTTCCTCACCTCACCTCTGAGACTCTCAAAACAAACCATTTCACACTTAGAAAGAGTTTAAACAGTTATTGTGTCCAGCTTGTGCTCATATTTGTTTTAAATGGCTAAATCATCAGCTGTGGAAATGTTACCAGTACTTACCTTCAACAGAAAATGTCCTGTCCTTAATTTACATTCTCTGTCAGTCAGTTTAAACTTTGGAAAGTTTTTACTAAACACTGTTTAAATTTGGGAGGGCAGGCTTCTTTGTTCCAGTCATGCACCTTGGACATTAATTGAGCATATCTTTCTTTACTGGCACGGGGAATTTTGTTTTTGTAAATTAAAAAAAATACAAAAGGGATTTGACCTATTTTTAGCAGCCAGCTTAAAACTTTCCTGGTTTGTCACTTTTTAAAATAATAGAGAAAAAAACAATGAAAACTTATGTTCTGTTATTTAATTCCTATGTATTCTACTGGTTGTTAATGTTCCCTGTGTGTTAATTGTAACTCATCAGGTAGGATCTTCTCAAGGTATAGAAAACTTTTATTATTTTATTAAAATGATGTGCAGTAGTTGTATTTATACCCTTAGATCTGTTCAGTCAATTTTAGGAGAACTTAATAGTTTTTCTCAAACTCTGCAGTTGTTAGTCTTTCTTTAGCCTTATGCATCAAGTAGGAATGAAATAAATACACAGTTTTAATATTTGACTGATTGAGAATTGTGGGGCAGGTTTGTTTATTGCTTACTCTTAGGATTTTAATTCACCTCACTGGAATTCATTAAGAAACAGAACATGGCAAGCTTTATTTTCTCAGGTACCCCCTGATTAAAACTCAAAGTTTAATTAGTATTTTAATTACCTGTTTTGAACACTGTTCCCACTGGATCTTCTGGCAGGTGGTCTGTGCTGAAACCTGCAGGTCTGTGTTTTTATCATGCTTCCCAAAGTCCCATAGAATCACAGTACTGCTGCACTGGGTAAGAGGACAGATGCTTTCGACAGGAGAAGAGTACATATCTCACTAGGAGCAGAGCTGTGGTGTGCTTCTTACAATAGGAATTCCTATCATTATTATCCCCATTATGTACAACAAGACCGAAGCAGTTCCTGGTAGACCTCAGGGTCTAACACTATGCATTCCATTCAAGCCCTCACTGATGTTTATGATCATATTTGATTAACTAGATGAAGCAAAACTGTTCTGTCTTGGCTTGAAAGAAGTTTTTTTAGCTGATTAAACTTGAATAGAGTGTGCTTTGGAAGTCAACACCTTTCAAAGGTTTTGGACTGTGGGTTGAACTTACAGCTCCAACATAGCAGACTTGAGTCTGAACTGTGCCTTCTTCTAGGTTCTCCAGGCAGTGATTTGCAATTGTCTGTGCTCTGCCAAGACTGATTTACTTTGAATATGGAGGGTCTACTAAGCTTTCTTTGTCTGCCTGGATACCTGTGATTTTTAGTGATCTCGGTGAGAGATTCTTCAGTCCTTGCTGTAGCTCCTGGGTGTCTGGTTGTGAACAAAGAGTTGGGAAATCACCAGAATGCACAGAGCTGGAAGGCTTGTGTAGTATTACAGTATGTTTGATACGCCCTTGCAGATACAATGTCAATTGACACGTCCATATCGGCAGGTATAAAAAGCAATTATATTGTTAATTCTTTTGTTTTTTGTAACATACATCTTAATGTTCATAATTAATAACACACTAATACAACACTTTTCTGGACACTCCATTCAAAGTGCTTTACAGGTAATGGTGAATTCCTTACACCACCAACAATGTGCACCACCCACCTGGATGATGCGATGGCAGCCAGTACACTCACACATCATAGTTGGGGATTATTAGGAGGCCATAATTGGTAAAGGCCAATGGGAAATTTGGCCAGGACACAAGGGGGTAACACCCCTTCTCTTTTCGTTAATTGCCTTGGTCATATTTGTCGCATTTTATAGGATTTTTAACGACCTGAGACAGTCAGGACCTCGGCTTTATGTCTCATCCGAAGGATGGCACCTTTTTACAGTAAAGTGTGCCCCTACTGGCCCCATTAACACCTCTTCCAGCAGCAACCTTTTTTTCCCATCCAGGTACTGACCAGGCTCACACCTGCTGAGCTTCAGTCAGTTTCCAGTTGAGACTTGCAGGTTTGTGATATAGCTGCTGGCAATATCATGTGATGCACTTGGGCACATCAACAGTGATGTATCCTGGGGTCATCAGGTATTTTAGGTTCCTTCAATATCAGACATCCTTGCCCAGGTGACGCCAGCCTGCATCCATGTAGCACTACCTTGAGCTCACGGATCACTTCTCCTTATCCACAGCCATCTTGATGCCACAGCCTCAGTGACAGCTCTGATGGCTGACCATTATGCCCAGTCCATTGTAGGCCCTGTTCAAGGATTTCTCATGGATCCCCTGCAACCTCCTTCAATAGACAGGCACCTTCCCCTCCAGCCCTTCAAACAACACTGCTGCACCACTGCACCAGGTCTTCATACTTGGCCCTCTTCCTCTCATTGACCTCCTCCATTCTCTCTTCTAAACAGCTCTGAAAAAAATATTAACTTTATGTCTGTTTAACTTAACTAAGTTCTAAATTGACATACAGTAATTTGGATCAAAAACCTGTGTAGTCCTCCGGGATCTGTGGTTGACAGGTCTGTTGTAAAGAATGACCTATGGCGATAGCATCTGACCCCATTTAGTGTACTTATTTACAGTAGTGTTGTATAAAAAGAAAACATTATGAGAATAAGAGATGGGTGGTGGTGGTGGATTATCTTTCTTCAAGAAAGAAGAGATTATTGGATCAGTAAACGGCTATTGCTGTAGTGTGTGTCCTCTTCTCCCTTGAAATCTTCCTTATTTTCAGATGAATGACACATGTAATGTTATACAACTTAATCTGAGTTTTCTGCTGATATATTGCAGTCTGTGAAAAATTACACAAAGTGCCACGTCAGGAATGAGCAGATCTGCAGCAAGCTGGCAAACTGCAAGAGCTGCTCTTTAAATCTCAACTGCCAATGGGACCAGCAGCAGCAGGAATGTCACGCTCTTCCTGGTAAGGGGACTGTGCTAAATCAGCATAGCTGACAAGTTTTTACACAACGTCTACTCTATGTTCAGGTTCTACCCCCATTTACCTAATTGTTCACCCTTTCTGTAATTTGTGAAAGTTTAAATATTTTTTTTATACTATAATATACTCTTTACTGTAATCTTGAAGATCTCTGTTCTAAGAGGTGTAGCAATTTCTTGTACTGCAGCTATTGGAATGTGAAATGATCAGTTCACTTAAAGGAACAAGTTTCCATGGACTGTTATTATATGAATAATATAATTAATTACAACAAATTATAAAATATTGACTTTGCATATGATGTAGGTGTGTAAAATAATAAGGGTACTTAATCCTAAACATAAGGTAGAACAGTATACACAAATTAAATACAAAAAAAAAATGTACAGAGACAAAAATGATAAACTTATTTGGAATTTCTTTACTGCAGTAATCTGATTTCAGTTAGTTTTCATTGTAATGGATTTTTAGTAGCTGTACTGGATGTTTTCTTTTTGTGTTAAGCTGTCCAAAAATTTGATTTGTAAAATATAACTTAGTATTTTGTCAAGCTCAGCAAAACGTAACAGTAAAATCCGAATCCATACATATCTCTTGTGAAGTGCCTTCTGTGTAAGTGTGTGCTGTGTGTTCTGCATTTGCACATTCTGACCGGGTTCAGGTGTTGTTTTTTGCCTGAGTGCTCCTTTTCTGTTGGATGGAAATTTTATGAGAGTGAAAATGAGAGTCCAATGGAAATGATATATTAATTTTCTTAACCACTTTCATCAGCCATGTTTATTAAATTACAAGTTTTGGATTTGGTATAGTATATCATTTTCACCTACTTTAGTTGTAAATAATCACACACAGATGGCTCGCCTTCATTTGGCGCTTTTAAGACCCACAACTTTTAGACTCTTGTGAAAAGAATATGTCGTTTCACATTAAATACATGTAGAAATCCCTCTGCAGCTGAAAAAGAACACATACCACATCACCGCCTGCAAATTTGTGTATATGATTATACATAGCATAAAAACTGTTCCATAAAATTTGGGTTGAAAATTAAGAGCTGTTTTGTACATTTTGGATCACTTTCCTTAGTTATAAATATAAATGGTCCTGGAAAATACAACTGCCATCTTTTTAGTCCAGAAGAGTGTCTAATTACATATGTTTTCCTAATCTCTCAAAACTTTTGTATGCGTTATTTGATTATAGATGATTGGAGAAAGTAATTGTTTTTTTTCTTAAATTCTGGGCAGAGGTTTCATTACATGTGAGCACAAGGCTAGTTGGCCAACCACTTTGGCAACCAAATTAAATAAAGTATTTTTTAAAATGGGCCCACAGTTGAGTATTTTTACTATTTCTGTAGGATCTGTTAAGAGAGGATCTTACAGAGAGCCCATCCTAACTGGATGTAAATCAAACTGCACAAACGTTTTTAGCACGGGATGAAAAAAGAAAACAAGCTATCCCACAAAATTATTTGGCCGATAAGGCCTAGTATTAAGTGTTCGTATTAAATTAATTTTGTTTTTATTTTGTCCTATCTTTTAAAACAGCACTACACTGTATCAAGATTGATACCAAGGTGGAATGACTGGTAATCAGTCACCCAGTCACAGCGCAGCTTTCAGTAGTGCTCTCAGGACCTTATCATCAGTACATTTGAATTTGGCTAATAATATGCTGTATTTTAACATTAATGTTGAATGGCATTTGGTTAACCATGGCCAACATTTACATACTTCATTTTAGATGAATTATGAAAGTATTCATTATATATATGCCAATTTATCAAAAGCATTAATTCAAGATTCTGTTATTTTAATTTTGCTCAGTAACTAGTCTGTCCAGTATGTTTAGGACCCCATCTCCCTTCACCCCCTCATAATACCAATGCAAATCCTGTTTTAGATTCACTGGCATGTTTACCTAGAACCTAACCTTGTGTGCAATCAGAGTACTTACTGTAGCATATGGCCTGTAAGTTGGTATAAAAACTCCGTTGGCCATCATTCCTTTTGATGCCCGCTGTGTATAAAGGACGGTGACTCACACAACATCTTCCTGGTTTTAGCTCATCTCTGCGGAGACGGGTGGAACCACGTTGGGGAGGCCTGTCTGCGCATTAACTCCAGCCGTGAAAGCTACGAAAACGCCAAGCACTACTGCAAGAACCTCAGCGGGAATCTGGCCTCGCTGACCACCGCCAAGGAGGTGGACTTTGTTCTGGATGAGCTGCAGAAATACACCGTTCAGGTAAAGGTGGAATTCAGGGTGGTCCTTGACCTTATCAGACAGAGCTACCTGTTCCTCATATTTCCTTCAGTTCAGTTTATTTGTCATATGCACAAGTGCAATGAAATGCTTTTTTACATGAATGCTCCAATACAAAGACATTAAGAAATACAACGTCAAAACATAAACACAGAACAGCAGCAGCAGGAACAACAGCCACAAGTTAAATTACATATAACTTTAAAAAAGCAAGTCAGCACAAGCAGTGTGAGATGTTCAGGGAAGCTTACAGGAAGAAACTGTCTCTGAATCTGGTGGTTTGTGCCTTTATGCTCCTATAATGCTTACCAGAGGGAAGGGTTGAGAATGATGGTGCCTTGTCATCTAGTAACCTATACGTAAATTTGAGACCATTTTTAGTATTTTCTGGGTCGTGTAATGTCTTGAAAGAAAATAGAATTATTAAAGTGATAATTAGTTAAAAATTAATTGAACTAGTGCATTATAAGAACTGTTCTCTAAAGCTTGCAGAAATGCATTGTTTGATTATTAATTGTTTAGTATTTAGTAGGTATATAGTATCAAAAATTAGTAATAAAGGGAGTTTTATTCACACAAAATGTTCAGTAACCCATGCATACATTATGCAGGATATATTGAAGCATTCAGTGTTTTGGAAAATGTTATTTTCATTTGTTATCCTTAGGAATCATACCACTATAACTGAATTTTATATATTATCAAAATATCACAATGATTGATATTAAGGGCTTTGACAAGACACATAGGCAATCAGGTTAAAATGGCATGAATAAAAGGGACAGATGGTAAAATGCACCTAAGTTTTCAAATGTTTTAGATTCCGGTCTTCACAATAGTTTGACTGTTCGCTCCAAATACTACAGTAAAGTAGTCCATCAGGGTGTTCAATCTCAGAAGATAATGATCTCAGTCACATTTTCATACAGTGCAAAAAGGTTCAGTTTTAAATTTAATATACATAATGATTACTTTGTCCAAAGATCAATGAAAGGTTAGTCCTAATATGTCTGGATAAAATGACACAATATTGTATATCTTTGTTTTGCAATAATTCTGTTCTATTACAGGGTTTTAAATATATTGTTCCTATATAACCATCAAAGGAATTCTGCCCGTAAAGAAGTTCATGTTGTATACATTTGTTTTCAATTGAAAAGTTGTCCATCTCTTTGGGACTTGAACTGCACATAGATATTTGCTTTTTCCTGGATACCATAGTTTCTTTAACCTAATACACTCTAAATCCATTCTTGCTGAAGTTTTATATCTCGTTAAGATTTCTTGCTGAGTAAGGTGGATGTAGGAATAAACACATCTGACCAGTTTTTGGGTGTGCAATAACAGATCTAAAATCATTCAAGATATTTAATCCTTCAAGTTCATTTGTCATTGCCATCCACAAATTTTGTTTTTTCTTGTTTGTTGAGTCACTTGCATTTTTGTATAATTCTTTTTTCCAAGCAAAACAAACCAACTATTGAATTCTAAAATAAAAGCAAACCAAATACTGAATTGTGAAATAATATGCAGTCAGTAACTTTTTGGACTGGGAATGGGGATGACTTTAAAAGGTCCTATCTAGCAGTAAGAGACTTTGGAGACTGCTTTAAATCATGCACCAAAATTATATTATATGAATAAAAACATTACTACTTCTTTGTGCATCAGCATTTTGTATATTTCTGGGGGCCCTACCCTCCTAAATCCAATTTGTTATGGGTTTCAGTCAAAAAGGATCTGGCAAACCCTGGCTTTAAAACTTTACTTTTAAAGAGTAAGACGTAGGCAAAACAACTCTTAAATGCCTGTATTTAGGATTTAGTTTTCCTAAGGTCTGTTAAATAAAGTTGATATGTAGAATGCTTTGGATATATTGTGTGTACACAAAATTAGTTTCTGTAACAAACCGATGCTCATATTGTTTTGATCCCCTCATTTACTAAAATCTTACCCTTTTCTCTGGAAACAATGGAAATCAGGTCTAATTCAAATGACTCTTTGTATTATATATTTATTATGTATTGAAGTACCATATATGCAGATATACTTGGCATTTCCATTCTTGAAATTCTTAGTTGCATGTGTTCTCATTTGCAGTTGTGACACTAAAATGTGGATCTATAATTCTCCATTCAAAAGCCTTACAAGTCTCTGTTAAAGATCTGCTGAACTAAAGTCACAAATTGAAGTGCATATATTTTATTTACTTTTGATGCTTAATACTTTTAAGACATACTGCTTCTCAGAGTATTTACTTTAACTCCAGTGCCAGACTACTTTGGGATATAATGCCTTAAGTGGTAATGAAATAATAATTGTGGAATAATGTGAAGATTTAACATAGAATATCATTGCGAAGTACTCTGGCCTTCTGGCTTGTTTAGCCAGACAGAATTTCTACTCTGGTCCCATCTGCCTGTCTTCTTCGATTTACTCTTTGTAAGCCACTGTGAATGTACTATCATCTCCTGCCACATGGGCTTAAAGAAATTACGCTTGATCTCCCAGTGCCTGTCTTTTCATCTGAAATTCTAATCATGAGAATTTCAGGGGGTGAGATTTCCTTTTAAATGAACCGTGTGTGCCGCACAGGCGAGGGCTGGCGAGTTCAGACGTGTCAGACACCACGGCTGCAAATTGTGATACAGGGTTTAAAACCAAAAATGCAATGCTTGGATTGAGTAAGAAATGGTTTGAAGAGGAAATTGGGGGGGAGGGGGGGACTTTTAGCTGCTTGCTGTTTTAGCCTCTGGCTCACAGCGTGAGTCTACGTGGCGTTTGGATTTTAATTCAAGAGTCTCTCTGAATTAAATAGTGAAGCAGAGACTGCATCTAGAAATCTATGCTTAGTCAGAGTAGGCCCTGAGTTGGTGCTTTGTTTATAATCAGATTTTCTCAGTATATGTGGTAAACCATCAGGCTTCAGCCTTAGAGCCGTACTTGTTGTAACAGTATTCCATAGCAACACGACAGGTGTCAAGTGATAACTACTGTACCAATAATGTAGGTGTCAGAGGATAAAAAAAACAACAGTTATTATGAGAGCCCATTATCATGACATACTGATGTAATATTGTTTGCACACTGTATGGCTGTGATGAATTAACAAAATCTTCACATACCCCTGTATTGGAGCCTGGTGAAGAAAAATTGTTTTAAGGATATGTTTTAATTATGCTACCAGTGAACATGTACAGTAGCAGGCATAGTTTGTCTTAAGCCTGATCAAGCATGTATGCAATCTCATGTTACCTTGTGGCAACCAAAATGAAGTTCACACATCTTCCGTAATGCTGGATTTAATTTTGGGGAAAATAACACATCTGCAAGATAACTGAAGGTAAGTATACAGTAAGAGTGCCAGTGAAGATCGGCTACAAAAGACGTGTTTAGTTATGCATTTTCTTTCAGGATCTTATTCTGCTTGAATAAAACTAGTTATCTGATTTTCCCATTTTCTAGATTATCTGTACTGCTCCTATAATGGGAGTGGAAACTACTGTAAATAAAAGGACGAAACTTAAAGAGTGGGTAATTTTTTAGTATGACTCTAAAACATACTAAAATTAACTCACCTACCATAAAATTAGAATCTTGCACTTTTGAGTAATCACTTGTGGTATCTTCAGAGGAGTTCACAAATTCAAAAATGTGCTATTGTTTGTCCCAAGCGTGTTCCATTGTACATGGGTTTCTTCACAGTGGTGTCAAGAGTTGTCCAGTTTAGGTCGTGGAAGGGGTCACAGAGCCAACTGCTTGTTTCAGTTCCATCGCTGCTCTTATGATGTCAGTTAGCCCACTATTGGCTTAATTGGTCTAGTTAAAAAAACTTAGGTGGTGGAAGAAACTTTCAAAACTTGCAGGTACTCCAACCCGCCTGGTCCAGGATCGAACACTATAGACCATAAACTGTTCTTCTTTGCTTTGTCGAAAAGAAGGTCATTTTAGATATGTAGTTGTGTGGCATGATCCAAGCCTGCAGAAATTCTGCTGTTAATTTTGAATCTGTGCTTACAGGCTTTAACATTATCAGTAGTTGCCCATTCTGTTCATTCTGTGTGGATTTGTTCTTGTACTCATGTTCTGAGACAAAGGCTGCAGCTGTAATCAGTCTGCATCTGCTGTCCATGGTTCAGATCTTTCCTTTGCTCTGTTTTTTAATTAGATTTTTTATTGGCATTTTGAAATTTAAGTTTGAAATGCAACAGTATGTAAACTGGGATTTTTAATCCATCTTATTTTTAATTAATTTTTAAACTTATTTTTAATTGTAGGAAAAGCAAATAATAGGTTCTATATAAGATTAGGATATGCATTTAATTGCAATCTAATGCATAATTTAAAGTGGGAGAAAATAAGCTTATTATTTTAAGCAAAGGTTATTTCTCTCAAAAGAGCATTTATTTTTTCCCTGGGAGTATTCTATGTGATACGTCCCTGGGCCAGTTGCTTAGAAACATTAAAAAAAGAAGGTTTATGTGGTAATGAGTTTTCTTTGTAATTTTGTTTCCCTCAGAAAATATCTCCCTGGGTGGGGCTGCGAAAAATCAACATTTCGTACTGGGGCTGGGAAGACATGTCTCCCTTCACAAACACCACCCTACAGTGGCTACCTGGAGAGCCCAATGACTCCGGCTTCTGTGCCTTTTTGGAGCGGGCAGAAGCTGAGGTAGTAGGGCTGAAGGCCAATCCTTGCACTGCCATGGCCATGGCTGATGGCCTGATCTGTGAAAAGCCAGTTGGTGAGATTTTAACTTTGTTTCCTTCTTTCCTCGTCAAATTACTGTATGTGTATGAATTTCTTTTGTTTGGTTCAGAGAGCTAATATAAATGTAAAAAAAAAATCAGGTTGACTATTTGCTGGCTGCCTTAGAAATGTATTTTCTTTTTTTTTTAACCAAGTGTTCCAGATGAAAAGGGGAAAGTGAGGCGTGTTTTGACTGTGTAGTCAGTCTTTTTCATTACAGAGAATCAGTGATCCATTGTCTTTCTGACATGTAAAATAAAAGACACATGCCATGCTCAACTTTTTTCATTTTAGTTTTATTTTTTCTGTTTTTTTTTCATTCTCTCTCCAATTCTGTTTTTGTCAGTCTGTTACAAACAGTTTATGACTTTTCAGTCTCCTTCCTTCTTTGTCACAGATTAAATCATGAATAGGATTCTGGGTAATTAGAGTGGGAGGAGGGAGGGGCTGTGACAGAAAGGACTTTGTATTTTAAGATTCAGTTTCTAAAGAAGCTTCTTTAAAAGTTATTTTTTTCTGATTGTGAGTGGTGTGCTTTGTACAGTATGGTAGATCATGGCTTAGAGTTTAAATGCTGTTTTTACATATTTGAGACAAGCCTTGCAATACAAGCAGGTACTGAAAATGGCAAATGAAAAATTTGCCTTTTCTAAGTAGCCATGTTTCTTTTTAAGAAATTTGAAGTAGTTATATTGCAGAAATCCAATGCATTAAAGAAGTTAAAGCCATAGTGGCATTTAAGGAAATTAGAATAGTTGTATTGCAAAAAATCACAATGTACTGTATACAAAATGACGCTTCAAATTTAAAGTTTTGGATGCCTTCCCACCATCAATGTAGTGTGTACATGCAAAATAATACAATATGTTAATAACCTCTCTTCTTTATGTATCCATTGATATTTCACATTTACTGTTAGGCTGCAAAATTTTTTTTTGTCCAGGCTCAGCTCTTAGATTTGCTGGGTGTATCCTTCTTCTTATAACATCATTATGATGTATATTATATTTCTAAATAACAGTTAAGTGTCTGTAATGCAAACTTCAATCATTAATAATCTGTTATCAGGCTAGTAATCACACTTTTTTTTTTAGTAATCACACATTTTTACTTTGTTTCTTTGTCCTCTTATGAAATCGATGAAAAGAATATAAAGAGAAACGAAGCACAACTGAGAGTAATTAGCCTTTTCAGACTCTGGGTGTCTGAAAGTTTAAGTGCATTGTCAGTCTTAAAATATAAACATTAACTGTGCTGGAGCTTCTTTACAGAATGTTTTTCCTTGATTACCAAATGTTACAGCCTCAGAAAGCAAATGTTTGGATTTTCAACTGGAAATTGTTGGGTTAAAGCATTCTGTAGATAAACTTTTCAAATTGGAGCACATGGATTCTGGTTGACTCTGGCTTTTGGAATAATGTTAAGTATATACATTTTATATAAGTAGAATTATATATGCAGAGCCTGTTCTATTATGCTCTAGGGGGCAGAAAGGTACTGAACTAAAGAAACAACACTTCATCTGCCAAGGTTTCAGTTTCAATTTCAGAGTGCTGGAAGTTCACATAACCTCATGAAACCAAGTTTAGGGCTACTTTATTATATCTGCCCCAATTGTATTTAGGTCATGGCATTTTCTAGGGCTAAATTATTTCCCAAGTTGCTTTACGTCTGTCTTGCATTACCCTTTAAACAAATGTGCCTTCTAATTTGCACTTGATAGCCAACCCCCGTGCACTGTCCTTTACAGTGGAGAGATTAGTGGAAGCTATGAGCTTGAGAGTTTATAGGTCTGATGTTTACATTTAATAGCTAATCTTTAATTTCCCCAGCATTAATTAAATTTTAATTGGCCCCTGTTGTGAGTCCACTCTGTCAAATTTGAATAGGATATAGTTTTTGGCTTTGCCTACCTGCTGTGCCTGACACGGGCTGGTTGCTTCTCAGCTGTAATACTGAGTTCTTGCTCTCATGATACATCTCATGTTGAGGTTTCTTAGGCCTACAAGTTGTTTTTTTTTAATTAATATTTTTTCCATCTGCAGTGAGCCCTAATCAGAATGCCAGGCCCTGCAAGACGCCCTGTTCTCTCCGCACCTCCTGTGCCAACTGTACGAGCCAGGCCATGGAGTGCATGTGGTGTGGCAGCACCAAGCGCTGCGTGGACTCCAATGCCTACGTCATCTCTTTCCCATATGGACAGTGCCTGGAGTGGCAGACCGGGGACTGTGTGTGTAAGTATAACGTCCTGTAACACCAGGCTGTCTTTTTTGCTTTCTTCTCTGCGCTGTGGTGTTAATATTCATTTAGCAGTTACTGAGACTTGGTCATGTAGACATTTTTAGTGTTTCCCCCACCTTCTTCTTAATTTTTTTATTGTTTTCATCAGCCGTTACAGTGCTCTTTTCTTCCAGGAGTAGGTACTATAAAACACGAAGAGCCCTAGTTCCAGTGCAGGCAGACAGTCACTTTGGTGTCAGGAGTGTATCCTGGAATGGAACTGTGATGTGCTCCAGACGTTTCATCCTATTGATACACCAAGCATTGAAACCAGCCTTCAAGTCATTGAACTAAAGGCTGAATATAACTACAGCTCTCTTGGTTGTTGGTTAGATGAAGCACAACTGATTATTAATAAACCTCACTAGATGGTTATTGTTGGGTTTGTATGCACATGATTTACAACATGAAAAAATATAAAATGACAAGATGGAGATCAATAGGAGGTAGATCAAAGGAGCCACATGAACTCCCCTATTTCCTGGCAGATAACATGGTTTAATCCCAGTAAAACAAAAGAGTAGAGCACCCCCTGTAAATCAATCAGTTTTAAAATAGATATAAAAGAGAAACTTCCTGTGTTACTGAGTATTTGTAAATGTTCCCAACAAAAGAACTTGTGAAGTAGAGGAGTGCATTGAGTAAACTGACATGTAACTAATACAGCTGCTTCAATAACACACAGCTGGAAACAAATGTGATGGACCAAGAGATTGAGACAGCAAAACCTCAGGATATGAGGAGTACCTTAAGATCGAGGAGATCCGATGATGACACTTGTCGCCAAACATAATGAAACATTGCTTGATCTTCTCTGAGGTTTAGACCTACAGACTGAAAGGGTTCAGTGATGCTGGAGCCCTAAATCCATTGATGTCTGGTCTAGACTGCATACTGCAGTGATAAAATGTCTAAAATTAAGCGAGGAAGAAATTCTGGTAATAACTTGAAAGAAGGTTTATTTGGACCATCTTTATGGACTGAGGTCCTATAGAAATGCATGGAATGGAAAGAAGAAAGTCCAAATCAATTTCCAAATTGCACCTTTTGGTGACATTTAGGGTTCTATTTGAATCCTAGTTGCCACAGTAAATATCTGTTGTCAAGCATTTATTAAATGTGTTCAGCACTCTCAAGTTACCCAGAACAATGATAGACACAATGTAACAATGTGTGGCAGATGGCAGGAGGCCACAGAATGGACAAAGTCAAATGACCACTACAGATAATACTAATTACTTAATGTTAATTAGTTAATGTTCTGTTCCAGAAATGTGATTCATGCTCAGATGTTGTTGGGGGCTAATAGTGCTTAACACTCTATAATGGATATATTTCACAAGATGCTGGTTTTCCTATAGTTTTCTTATATATACAACTTTTAATATTTCTCATATTGCACTTCATGACATTTCTTTTAATGGTTTGTTACAGTGGGTGGTTGGCCTTCAACATAGATGCACTATTAAGAATGTGTAATTGGTTGCATGTTTATATGTTTGTGCACAAAGATATATAAAATCTCTTTCTGAATGCTTTAGTTACAGTAGGTAGTTATAATCATTGAATTTCCTTTAATGCAGAGTTTGACATTCTTCTTAAGGGCTTTCACAATTCTAAGATATTAGTAAATCAGTGACTAGGAATAGAGATTTAAAATTGATAAGTGCTAAGGAGGATTAGTGCTTGGGACAAAAAGGGTTGGGGTGCTTTTGGAGCCTCTTCTTTGAACTTCTTACAGCATATTAATAATTTGTGTTACTATGGGATTTTGTTTTACATTGTATCATTTTTGGATTGACACAAGGTGATAGGCAATGATTGAGTGTTACACAGAAGGAAACGGTTAAACAACAGATATCAACTCATGTTTTTGTTACATGATGTGGAATCTTTTCTTAAGATGTCAAAGTACAGTCCTTTAATGTGAAAGGTTTACACAATGCTTTAAAAAAGACAATTCTTAAAGGTTACCAGAGAAAGGGCACATGTATTCTCATACAAAACCCATTTCTCTGACTCTGAACTTTATAGCCGATGTGTGAGATGTCAGAAAACATTGTGCTGGATAATGAGGGTGGTAATTCTCATTGTTACTATTTTCAGACCTCATGCTATTAATCCTGAATACTTTTTAAAAAGAGCACTAATAATGTAGTTTTTTTTTTCCTAAAGATAGAGTGTGGGGCACATCAGTTGCTTCTGTAGCATCTTTGGAAAGTGTTAGTTCTGATATCACTTGAAACGGTAAGAGTGCTTGTATAAAGAGGTGATTTGAATACCTCTAAAGAGAATTCAGAAAACTCTTAATTCAATATGTTGATAGATCAGTGGGCAAGGTGGCTCATTGGACTTGTTATGTTTTGGGGAGAGACTAGGCGGAACTGTACTTTTCATGTACTTTTTATTGTGATGGAATAGGTAGGTCTAAGATAAAAGAATGTGAGATCAAAATAATTGAATGGCAGTGTACCAGTTTGATCTTGGCTTTAAATATTACAAATACAGCTCTACAGAGGATGAACTATAGTATTCTAAACTACATGTTCTAAAAATAAATCACACAGGAAATTAAACTTTTTAGAAGGTGTATGGTACTTAGGGAAGCACGATGGCGCAGTGGGTTCAATTCTGGACCTAGGGTGCTTTTTGCATGGAGTTTGTATGCTCTCCCCATGTCTGTGTTGGTTTCCTCCAGGTGATCAAGTTTGCCTTCTCAGTTCTAAGAAATACTGGAAGGTTACTGGCTTCTGAGAGAATTGGCCCTGGTGTGTATACGTGTCTCTCTTTGTGTGTGCCCTGCAGTGGACTGGTGTGCCATCCAGGATGTATCCTGCCTTGTGCCTGTTGCTTTTTGGGAAAGTCTCTGATCCTCCCAGACCTTGAATTGGATGAAGTTGTTAAAAAATAGATGGATGGATAAGCAACATGTATTTCCTGTAGTACTGCGGGATACAACAAACTAATGTGAATCAATCCTGTAGGAGAAAATAAAGGTGCAAATGCATTGTATTATGGTCTGAATTAAAACCTGAACAAAAACAGAAAGGAGCATTTTCCAGCAGATGTCATTAATTAAACAAAAATATTAGCTAATTGATCCGATTTGTAAAATGTAAGGTCCAAAAACAATGAGAGATGTGCTACAGTTTGGATTTCTACCAGACTTATGTTACGAAACTCTATATGCACATCCTGGGACACACAATATACAAGACATGGTTTGCCTGAATTTGCTTAATTGCTTAAAATGGTAGTTTATGAATGAAGGAAGAAGGGTCAAAACGCCTTCCCCTGCAAATATCAATTCAAAAATAATGTTTGAAGAATAAAACAAAAACTGAATTCTGTCTTTTACCTTCACCTGGGTTTGGGAGAGAGAGAACTTTCGGGGGTGATTTTATCTCTGTAATTTCTAAGGTAGGAAAATAAATGCAGATCTTTTCCAGTTTCCTCTGTGTGCACTGTGAGATCTATGCAGTAATTATTGCCAAGAAACTGGGGAGAGAGTTTTCATGATCTACATCAAAGAGGTTTGACCTTGTCCAGCAATCAATAACTCTTGAAAACTTAGGGGTCCACTTACCAAAGCTGTTTAATCTACATTATAACCCCATAACCTTCAGAACCAAGGATGAAATGCCAAGGTGGAGCTTTCTTCTAAAATGTTTTATCAAGCCTGCTGTAACCGTTTCAAACCCTACCTGCAGAGGTCTCCCCTGAATAGTTTAATGACTGGAATCAAGTCATTTTAAGGTTTCAAAAGGCAAAAACTGGAGAGACACATTTAATATGCTTCAGCTATGTAAGTGGAGTTGTAGACTGACAAAGCCCTGTCTTGAAACCTGCTATGGTACTGTTCATTTCTGATCTAATTTTATTCATTGCTGCTCAACAATGAAAAAACAGGGAGAACTTGTATCTTAACTATACAGTGGCAATCATGGAGCTAAATAACTTAACTTGAGAATAAGGATTGCAATTTAAAATTATTGATATTTAATAAAGTATTAGTAAAGTGACACAGCCTGACCATTATTACACCTGTTTAACAGCTGTTACATTTTCTGTTAAATTATTAACATTACCTAAAGTGTCAGTGATCAACGGTGTAAATGAAAGCTAAGAAAAAGAAATCTAATATTATAATTTTTGATGAACATATGTGCAAATATGGGAGATATCCCCTTTGAGATAGTGAAGAGTGGACATAATACTACTTCAGTATTTGGTGGTCAGTTACTGTAGAAAGCTTTTATGAGTAAATGTCTTGCTGGGGACCCTACAGCCTGTGAACAGTAGACTGATATTGTAAACAAAAGTGTAAGTAATGGTAAAATTAACCTTTTCTCTCAGATTGCAACCAGAAAAACATGAGATCTAGGCCTTCTTGGATTAGTTTTTTATCTATTTCTAGGTCTTAACTTCATACCATAAAAAAACAGAAAATGTGTTTTTATTAATTTTTCCTCTCTGATGTGCTGGCATAATGCAATAGTTACTGTTTTATCATTTAAAAAAGGAAGAGGGTTATTTGTTTGTATTCTGTACAATGTTATATGTAAATGTCCATTGCCTTCCAGAGGTATTTGAGCCCAAATAAAATAGAACCAAAAAATCCATAAAACAGCAGCAAACATTGGTTGGATAATGTCTTGCTTGAAAAAAAAAAGGAAGTTGTGATTTTTAATAGCATTTTTCAGCAAATTGTTTGTCCAGAACAAACAAGAGTAGCATTTATTCACATGACTGTAGTTAGTATTTTGTAAATTCTTCTTGACATGGATACCAGATGCTTCCTGGCCTATGCTATGAGGTTCTGGCACTACTGAGGGTTTCTTTTGCCCATTTCATCAGGCAGAACTCCTCTAATTCTTCAGACCCTTTGGTTTTATTTGTGAACCGCCTTCTTAAGTTCACACCACAAATGTTCTATTGGATTGAGGTCTGAAGA